TCAGTAGTGTTACTACCAACCATTTCAGGTACCCTCCATACATTGTCACCTCCTCCCCATGCATCCATTAGCACCTGCCCCACCATATATAGCAACACATTTCAAACTTCTTTAACAAAATACTATTCATTCAATCATGGACAATCAATACATGATTTCAAAAAAAAGTTGTGTGTGTGTGGTCCGAACTGCCAAACCAAAACCATTGGATAAAAAACATGCCTCTTAAATTAAGTTACTAAAAATGATACGAAAAAGAACCTGTTTTCTTTGAGTAAAACAATAGTACATGTTAAATATAAGTAATTCTAGCACATTCATAGAAATTGGTTTTGGAATATATAATAAATTCAAGAACAGTCATTTTCAAGAAAAAAAAGGAAGAAAATTCAACAACTAAACTGGACCCATACGTACAAGCACAGCAAGATAGAAAGGCACATTGGGTCCCAGAAAAAGCACAAAAGTGCCAGAAAAATCTAAACCCATAGATTCCACACCCTCACCCAGCGTAACATTGTTTGCTTCTGCAATACATAAAAAAAAAAAAAGAAAAATGATTATGAAAAACAGATCAACGGCTCTGATCTTACCTGGGTCCCATCATGCAAATCAGGGACCGTTGCTGGGCCCTCTCCTTCTACGTACAGTGGGCCCTTGTCGGACCAAGCGTCCATGATCTCCTGATAATCAAGCTTCAAAGCCAGCAGCTTCTTCATCTTCCCTCGGCTGCACCATGCACGGTCGTCCTCGTCGTCGTCATCGCCGCCGCCACCGCAGATACTCTCCTCCTCCACACTCTCCTTCGTCTCCACCACCTCCGAATAGCATACCCACTTTTCCTCACTCGCATCCCTGTCCTTGGCCTTCATCGCCGTCCGTACCAGGCAGCTCGCGTCACCCTGTTTCTCACTTTGACTGTACCCGAAAGTCAAAGATCCCGCATCTTCCGACGTCGTCGCAACGTCGAGGAGGCCGTTCAGTGTGGCGTTAGCGTTGTCCGTGCCGTTGAGGAGCAACGAAACATGGTCGTACTGATTCTCCCTGTCCTCCACTATATTTTCCGGATGCAGGGGAAACAAATCAAGCTGCCGCTGCCCATCTCCACCCATTGTTTCCACGTTCTCCTGAGACGATTCGATATCAAGGAGACTGAGGAACTTCGGCTTCCTCGTCCTCGTCCGAATTCTACGAGATGGTCTGAGAGAAACCGTACTACTCTGTTTCTGTCTCCTCCTCTGTTTCTTGCTTCTCTTTGTCTTGGTCTGGACATCATGGGGAGGAGGGCTGGTTTTATTACACATCTGATCTTTCTGTAATCTCTCCGTGATTGCTGTTTGGTTGCAGAGAAAATGTGATAGAAAGCGTATGGGAGGGGGATTAAGGAAGAGAAGAGAGAGTAGAGACTGGTTTGAGGGAAGGGAAGGGAAGTCGGGTTTTAGGTGTCAGTCTCGAACAGGGGATGAGACGATGGTGATGGGGTTTGCTTTTATCGACACGTGGATGGATATGATTGGACTAGGATGTGGATTGTGTTGTTATCTGGATTTCGTTTTGCTGTAGATGGGCAGTGCGGAATTGGGGGCCGTTTGGCAACAACAACTAATTATTTTAATGAAATTCCGTTGATTTTAGGCAAGTGTTCTATTGGCCTATTTATTTTAAACTTATCAAGGTTTGAGTAAAAATTTTACAAAAATGTTAAAAATTATAAATGGAATTTTTTAAGGGCATAGAATAAGGAAGTAATAAATATATTTTTTTATAATTAATTTTTATTAAAAGTATAAATATTAATTTTAATTTAATAAATTAACTAATTAAAATTATTTACGTGTCAATGATATTAACATATATGTTAACTTTTAAAAGTTTTAATGTAAATTAATTATAAAAAATTATATTTATTACACTTTTAATATGTATTTTTAGGGTACAGATTAGACAAATCCATTACAAATTTATAAAAATTACAATTAAGATTTTTAAGAAATTGTAAAAAAAAAATCAGATTCATTAATTTATTTTCTAATTCTTTTAAATTAAAATGAAAATACCTAAACGGTTATAAGAATTTTTTTAAAATAAATACATTTAGTGTAACTCTAACTTGTATACTCTTTCTATTTTAAATTAATTATTTAAAAAAAATCTTTACATGCAAACTTTAAGCAATATTTTTATATATCATAATGACAATTAAAAAATTTTTAATCAAAACAATTACTCAATAAAATGACCTAATAAAGGTACACAATTTCAAAATGCATTTTGAGGATTTCTTTTTGTCTAAAGATTATACTCTCTCTATTCATTTTTTTAATACATTTAATTTGACTTTTACACAAAAATTTCAAGTGAAAATTTAATAATTAAAATTTTTTTCTTATATAAAGTTTTTGTTAAATACTATAATTGAAAAAAAAATTTAATTATTATTTATATAATATATTAAATTTTTATTTAAAATTTATATTTTAAAA